TATGTAGTGGAATTACTTTTCTGATTTTCTTTTGAGCATGCAGTACAATTTAAACATGTGGTCCTGAGGCTGAGGTAATTGAGACAACAAAATCAGCATCAAGACTGGCTGATGTTTAGATATTCTAATTGTGGTGATGTTTCTTTAGGTTTAATAATCCTTGTTTGCTAAGAATGAGCTAAAAAGCTTTTAGCTTTAGGTGTTTTAATTCTAGCGTGAAAGCTAAGTAAGGGAATATATTAGAATTTTCTTTTTGTTTTGCTAAAGACTCCTTTGCTAACAAGCAGAAGGCAAGAGGGATGTACACATAATGCTACAGACTGTTAAAGCATTCCATTTCATAGAGCTAAGAATTCACACAAGGTACAGACTCCCACTGCCACTGACAAAAGTTTCTTGCCATGTAAGATAGAGCAGGAAGCAGCCAGCAATGCTGGCTGCCTTTCAGATCTGTGATTCATGCATACACTACTCTTCCAAAGTAAATTAATTTTGAAATGGGCCCTCATTATCAATACTGAAGATTTATACAGTGTCTTTCAGCACTGAACTTTATAAAAAGTTCAAATTTATAAACACACGTAAGCAAAAAAAAAAAAAAAAAGACAATATTCTGCCATGCTCAGATGGAAAATGACAGCGGTAAAGCACACAGGAAAAAATTTACCATAAGGTCTCTTTGCCCAAAAAGGAATAAGGAATTAGAATTAGGGTGCCTTACTATCACAGAAGTCCTGACTCATTAAAGTATGTCCTATTATCAGAGTCTCCAACTCCACTTTTACACTGGAATACCTGGTGCCCTGCAAAAAGGAAATCAAAACCACTGGAGGTGTGAAAAAGAATTTTGTTGAGGAAAATGTGTTATTTACAGATGAATTTAGAAAAGACACTAGAAGAGCTGTGAGATGTACTCTATGTAATGAACACTTCAAAGTACTGAAACAATAAACAGTACAATTATTATTATTACTGAAGTATCAGGAACTCATTCTTACAAAATACACAGATCACGATGATTCAAGAAAAGAGGTTGTTGCAGACACTACCCTGGGAGATTTATTCAACCCTAGTTAGGGCCAGTGTGACCTGCAGAAAGCAGCTGTGAACCAACTCAGTGAACCAAGACTGTTACTTCTTACTGCTCTTGGAAAGAAACTATGAAAGCAGTAACTGTGTTGGCTTTCCCATGATGAAATGTGGTGGTTTCACAGAAGTGTGGCCTCTTGTTCTCTAGTTCTCAGAACCTCCTTCTCTAGTTCTCAGAACATACAAAGGACTTATGTACGCTCCAGGTGTTTCACCCTAGAGTGTACATCAGTCAAGTTAAAACAGGATGTCATTTAAGACTTAAATGTCAATTTCTCTTCTCAATTTTGTCTTGTCTGCTGAAGAAGCCACAAAATTAACGCAGTTGTACACAGTTTTGAGATGCCTAGCTGCACACTAGAAATGCCAACATCTATAAACAGGAATAGGGTAAAAACACAAATATAAGAAGTTTTAGAAGTGAAACCCTACTCTTTGAACTTGAAAAAGTTGTATTTAAAACCCTGACTTGCACATAGCTTTGTAACAGACAAAAGTTGGTTGTTAAACTCACGTTTCTACAAAATCAAGGAAAACCTGAATCCTAGAAGTTCAACTAATAGTCATGCTAACACTGCTTCTTTTATTCTAGAGCCTCAAAGTATTTTAAGAAGGTGAATAAATATTAGCACCTACTCTACATGGAGTTGATTCACTGGAAGATACACTATTTGGTATGTGTTTCTTGCACTTCAACTTGGCATTTCACTGAGGTGTTTAATCCTCAGTCCTTAGGGCCCTCCATTGTCTGTGAGCATAAGCAGGCAGCTTCAGAGCATGACTTGCATTGTGGAGGGCCTGAATTACTGTTCAGACCTACCAGTCTTTCTACTACTACCAATCTTTCTCCAGTGCTTTTCAGCTTTGTTGAAATGGAGATGAGACTTTTGTGGAAATGGCTAAAATTTTCCAAATCAGCCCAGGCCTAATATCACAGCTGCTGTATTTTCCTGTATTCCCATTTCTTATCCTCCCCACTACACTAAACTACCTCTGGGAAAAGATCTGAGGATTTATAAAGCTGTATCGATGATGATTTTTTTCCCTCTTCTTCCCTTTAATATAAACCACATAAATTCTAGAAGTCAGTTAATACCTGCATCAGTCATGACCATAACAGAACACAGAAATGATCCAGGAGATGAAAAGATCCCTACCCTTTGAACAGCTCCTTTTTCTATCTTGGATAATTCTTTTTCCTTTTTGAGCTACAGTAACACCTACAAGAGGAACAAATGAAGGCTAAAGTGAGGCATGATACACTTGAGTTCTTCAGTTATATTTTTCATTACAACAGTAGTAAAAACAATGCTATTACATAAATAAGCCCACCTAGAGCACAGAAGCATTTGATCATTCTTTAATCAAATATTAGAGAAATGTACTTCTATGTTCTGTTACCATCTTAAGATAAAAAAGCATGCAGCATATTAATCTTTGGGTCATGCATTGTCCCAACATGTCCTGTCCTTGAATATACATAGGAGTAGAACAATTTTTAAGGGTTGTTTGAAGTTAATTTAGTACAGCAGCAGTATTAATCATGATTTTCACCACTTTCATCTTGGATACTCAGACCTAACTGTTGGGAATGATAGCCAAACTACAAACATTTGGGGTTGATCATGCAATTTACAGAATAAAGACAGACTGCAAATCCACTTCAACTTGAAACACCAAAGTTCTTAAAGATTTATAGCAGAAAAAGAATCTTTAATCCCCAGTGCTGCAAAGGAGTTTTGTTGGCTTAAGTACAATTGTAAAAAACAGAATGGTTATTGGCTGGCACATACTGTGAATATCATACATGGTCAAAAAGTTGCCAATAAAGCTTTCACAGCTTTGCTATTCAACAGGCTGGAGGAAAAAATAAACAGTCTTTTTACTTCACAAAACTCCTAAAAAACCCCACCATCGTGCAGTGGTACAAGAATTCCAATTAGCTCTTCTAGAAAGAGAGATATTCAGCAAGTGGACTAAGCCATGCCCAGCACATTAGTAAGTACATATAAGGATTACTGGATAATTCATGCTCTGTGTAGGAAAAAAACTAGCTTCAAGGAACTAGTTTATCCTCAGACTGTACAAGTGAGAGAAGCGTAGCTAGAGATTACATTGAGGGAAATTTTTAGCAGCTTCCTCATCCAGAAAGATTCTGGACTACTGATACATGTCAACATATCTGAGTGAAATGAATACATTTTACTCAAAGCTTATCTTCACCACACATAACTAAACACTTCACAGACCCTTCAGTCACTGCTGGTGTGAGAAAGGCTTTGCTTTCATGCAAGTAATTCTCCCATTTTCCCATATGCCTGTATTGCATTCCCATCACTGTATCTTATTATTTCTGGATTTTTGCAGTGCTGTTTCCATTTCCCTGCCCACTCCCTCATTGTGATCTTTGATCAGTGGATCCTTCCCTGAGACATACAAAATTAATGACTGTCTTAAAATACACACAGGCACATACATAACTATAAATAACAGAACAGGGTCATGTAAAGGAATTCTAGGTTAGATGTAAAAGAAAGTGCAGATTTGCAAAGCAGCAATTCAGTGGCAAAGCTATGGTTAACATGAAACATGCTTAATGCGGTCTTCTAAACTTCCCTAATAGTGTACTAAGGGTTGTGAAGTTTTGTGCCAGTTGTAGCTAATTCTGAAATTTCTGTTCTCTCTTTCACTACCTAAGGTACAACAGCTGATGAATTTAGAAAACCAAAACAAATATCCTGATCTACCACGGCCTCATGGTTGAATTGTTCTGAACTTGGTAAAGTGCAAGCCACAAATGAAGCCTCCCCATCTGATAGTATTCCCATAACACCTCCTCATTCCTATTAAAGATGCACTGCAGCTTTCAGTCAAGGTGGTAGTCTGGGCTGGTTTTCACCCCCTCCCCTCCCCTCCCCTCCCCTCCCCTCCCCTCCTCTCCCCTCCTCTGGTACTGCAAGAGGCTGAACACAACGGACATGTTTTTAATAAAAACAAATAATGCAATTTTCTGCATAGCAAAAAATTTCATTTGACATACCGAAACCAAAGCATTCTAGATTATTAGTCAGGTGTCTTGTCAATAACTCTTTAGCCAAACATATTTTTATTTGGCTGCTTTCTTCCCTTGAAATAATATAAATATTCACATAAAGAAAAGATATATGGAAGCAGATTGCTGTGGTGGCATTTGCTGGTATAGCACAGATAACTGATCCTGAATTGCTCGATACAATTAAAGATTTTTCAAGATCCTCTCATGTATTAACCTAATATCCTAACCGCACTTTTCCTTGCATTGGAAATATAACGAAGCTGTTTTTCACGTGTATGTGTCTGTGCAAGGGGAGAAGGCTTGGTGCAACATACAAAGGCAAAACATGATTTTTTTTTTTAAATTTTTTTTTCAGTATAAGCATATGAAAGGCTCAGAATACACGGCGATCAGCTGATTACTCTTGCTGAGGTCAGTCCAGTGGGGAGCAGCGCAATAGCCAGCGGCTCCTGCCCGGCCATGTGTCCCCGAGCAGGGCCACACTGCGACCACCCGAGCGGCTCAGCAGTCCCAAAAGGCCCGGGACACACAGCTGACATCGTGCCGAGGCACCGGCCAGGCACCCGCGGGCTGCTCCCGATCGCTCCACGCGCCGAGCGGCCCCCGCGCGGAGACACCACGGGGCTCCCGGCTCCGGTGCGAGCCGCGTTCCCGCTTCCCGAGGCCATCGCACCACGCGAACAGCCCATCCGGGTACCTCGGGAACTCCCTGTCCCGGCTCACAGCTCTCCCGGCCGCCCCGCGGCGGGCGGGCTTTGCTGGGGCGGGGCGGGCACCTCCTTCCTGTTTCCGCTCGGGATCCCGGAGCGCGGCAGGGCCGCGGTACCGCGGGGCGGCGGCGGGCGGGGGACGGCCCCGGCAGCGCGGCTCGGGCGGGCGGCGGGACATCGCCGTCCTCTCACGGCGCCGTGTGTTCTCTCCGCAGGGAGCTCGGCTCGCCCTTGCGCCGCTCGGCAGGCCCGGAGGTGCCCGGGGCCGCAGGTGAGGCGGTGCCGGCCGCGGCGGGGCGGGAGACTCGCACAGAGGCAGTCGGGGCCGGGGCCGGCAGCGCTGCGGGGGTTTTGGGTGCCCCACGGCCACCGGTTCAGTACCCAAAGCACTGCCGGGGCTCCCCGCCTCCCTGGTGAAAGCTGCAGAGAGAAACCAACCGGGCTGGCTATTCTTCACTTCCAGGAAGGAAGGTTCACAAACCGCACTCTTTTTCCATTTAACAATACATTCTTAATAGCGTTTGCAGCTCTGTTGGATTAAATACCAATTATTCTGTAAACGCTGAACTTTAACATAGGGTCAGTGCTTTGCATTACACTTTCACATAGTATGCACTGCTTTTAACTTCTAGCAAAGACGATTTTGCCCTTTAACAGTGAACAAGGACAACTTATGGTACTTAGTATCACAGAATCGGTAGGGTTGGGAGGGACCTCTGGGATCATCCAGTCTGGTCCCACTGTGAAGGCAGGGTCACCTAGAGCAGGTGACACAGGAACCTGCCGACCTCAGCTTTGTGTATCTCCAGAGGGAGACCCCATGACTTCCCTGGGTTGCCTATTCCCATGATCAGCCACCCTCAATGTAAAGTTGTTCTTTCCCACGTGAAAGTGGAACTTGTTGTGTTTTGTTCTTTTGTATGTGCGCTTTTAATTTGCTGAGTACTCAGATTTTTTTTTTTAATATTCTACAGGGTTTCCTCAGTAGGAGAACAGAAAAGATGTTCGATATTAAGGCTTGGGCCGAGTACATTGTGGAGTGGGCTGCCAAGGACCCCTACGGCTTTCTCACCACTGTGATCTTGGCTCTGACGCCACTGTTTGTCATCAGCGCGGCGCTGTCATGGAAGCTTGCAAAGATGATTGAGGCCCGGGAACGAGAGCTGAAGAAGAAACAGAAACGCCAGGAGAACATTGCAAAGGCCAAACGAACAAAGAAGGATTAAATGGGCAAAAATGGCCTTCCTTGTGCAAATAATCCACTTTTAAAATGAAATACTTGTACATATTGTGTTGCAACTGTCCTTTGATACTTGATCCTGTTATTTCTTGAAGTATGAAATTTAATACTTCCAGTGTAATTTTTTCCTGCTGATTTGTGTTAAAATTTGGCCAAGTGACACTTGTTAGAGTAATTAAATTTACTACTTGTATTCTAGTGCAGGTTGCTTTTCTAAATTTGCATGTTAAATTAAAAAAATAACCTCTTGGATGGCTTTGGAGGTAGATTTTTTTTTCCTCTTAGCTGAGCTATGACTTAACAAGTGTCTTAAAATTATCAAGTTTAGGGGAAAATGTGAATAATAAACTGGATTACAGAAATGCAATTTTTGGCATACCTTGAGCAGGTCTGTAGAGACAAGCTACCTGTAGCATTAGATAGCAGACATGACTGATTTCATTTAAGGTCACTGCATATGGCTGTGTGTGCCCATAGTGGCTGCTGCAGTGTCTTTGATGGTGCTGCTTGTCTGCAGAAATAACCTACCTTAGCTTTTACTTTTTCCTGAACTACAAGCCATGAACAGACTTTAACTTCAGCCCAAGTTCCAGGAAACTGATTGCTTGTTCTTATTAGCTTCATTTCTCTTAAGGCACTCATGTTCTATAAAATACAGTACTGTTGTTTGAGCTTCCCTAACAAACAATGCTCCACCTGTAACTAATTTGGTTTTGCCTTCATAAATTCTTTATGCCTCAAAGAATAGCCATAAGTTGGGTGAGACCAAAGACCCAGGTGTCCTAGTGTTCTGCTATAGCAGATGGCTGTGCAAGGGTGTTGCATGAGCTGGTGACAGTAGTTCTGGTGACAGTAACCACCTGGCTACCTTTGATCTAAGACTTGTGTTTAGGTAGGATTTTTGTTCTCATGGCCCTTCAAACTCTGCTGCCTTAAAGGTTGCAAAATGCTGACATAGTCAAAAAAGTCAGGTTTGTGTTGTAAATACATCAAAATTATCTAACCTTATTTCCAATTAATCTCTTCTTAATAGACTTGATTAATTTTTCAAATCCTAATTTTTTAATAATAGTCTGTGGTGACCTCTACATAGTCTATTTCAAAAGAGCTTGTAGCAGTCATTAAGATTTTACATTTTGCATCAGCACAGAGTTGTGCATTCTAGCAGCTACTCTTTGATCAGGTTTAAAAATAAAACCTTTAAATAATACCATTGTTCAAATGAAGAGACCTGTAGAGCTGGCTGACACCAAGGGGGATCAGAAGTGGGGAGTCTAACTGAAATTACTTTTAAGTAAACTTGAAGTTGATCCCCTTTCAATTTTGTTGGTGAAAGCAAGCATTATTGGAATACAACATTTGGGCATTTTATAAATACGTGAGATTAAGTCTCCATGTTTTGTATGAAGTGTTGTCAAATATGTATGTGTTCTACCTTTGATACCTACATAGCTTGAAACACAGGGAGGAAAACTGATGAGGGATACACTCCATAAATAAATTTGATACTTTTTGAAAAAAAGTTGTGTCATCTTCATTTTTATTTGAAGTTCTCAAACATCATCTCTAAGCAAATAATCTGCACATTTTATGTATCTAAACTATGGCCAAAATGATCTCATCATCTAGGGAAGTCCATGGATACACAAGGAATAAAAACTAGTATTTTTTTTAATATTCATGACAGTCCCTTGTTCCAGACCTAGTGTTATTTTCCAGCAGCTTTATCAAGTACTTCTAGCTTCTATTATAGCAGTTATATGTATTTTAACTGGTTTTACCCTGTACAAATTGCTGTCTGCAAATCAAACATTCAAATATGTTGACTGTTTTAAAATCAAACATTCAAATATGTTGATTGTTTTAAGTTCCAAGAACATCTCTATGATGAGTACAGTGTGTAATCAGTGTAGTGTCATAGTGATTCCTGTTAATGAAATCAACTTTTCCGTCTGCTTGCCAGCGGAAAGCATGCTGGCACTCCCAAGGGATTTATTCTGAAGAGATGTCTTGGCAAAGGCTTGGGAAAATCTAAGTGTACAGACAACAATTCTTATATCAAGAACAGTTTTAAAACTAAATTAGTCTTCAAGGAAAAAAGCAATTTAGACTTAAAGAAAATTTAGATAGTCTTTTTAAAATGAATTCAAGAGTAACTGATGAGCAGCAACTATCAAAACCAAACTTAGTAACATACCATTTTTCACAAAACCCAAACACCTCAACAATACTTTGTCATGATCAAGCCTATTTGAATAGTTCTGCAAAAGTAACTCAAACTGCTTTAATACTACTTTATTGTAGTACTCTTGTATATAACAGCTGTGTATGTCATCTGTTAAAATATTAATCCATTAACAGTACCTGTCCATGAAATTGCTTATTTATTTTGACTACTACCACTGCCTGGTGGCATCCAGGCACCTGGCTGGAAGGTATTTGCAGTGCTTGTGGGGTCTTGTGAGGGCTCCTTCTTTCCATAGTAAGGGGCAGATGCGTGGCCTTTAACCTGAGTATGACTTGGTTCAGCAACAAGTCCTTCCTCATACTCCTTGGCCTGAAGCAGCTTATCCTTTTCAGATACATCCTTGACTTTCTGCTTCATTTCTTCTCTATAACTTTCATTCCTAAGAATCTCCTGAAAACACAGTATAAAGATAATTAAGTCAAAAGCAAATGCAATATACAGTGTTTCAATAAAGCATTTTAAACAGTTGTTTATTTTCTTAATTTTATAACCCACATTTGCAAGTATTAAAGTAAAATAAAATGTGGCAAAATTGTTGGTTTTCCACAACTGCAAATTCAACCCTAACTGTATTGTGTCCACTTCACTATTCTATTGGAGCAAAAAGAAGAAATTAAGAAATTAAATACATCAACAAATGTGAAAGCACATTAAAACTAATTGCATTGTTTCTTATGTAGGAGTTGATACTTACAGATATTTATCATTTGCATCTGTTCCTGTAATTCACTATGCCTGTGGTGTTAGGTACCTGTGCCTCAGGGCACAGTTTTGGGAGAAACAGATGTGCAACCATTGGGGTCTTGCTTCTGCAAGACTACAAAAGAAATAACTAAAATCACAAAATCACAGGTTGGTCAGGTTGGAAGATAGCGCAGTGGGTCATTTGGTCCAAGTTCATTCAACCTCCATGCTCCAGCAGGGTTATCCCAGAGTACTTGGCATAGGATTGAGTCCAGGTGCTGCTTGATTATTTCCAGTGAGAGAGACTCCTTAACCTCTCTGGTTAATCTGTTCCAGTGCTCAGTAACCCCACAGTAACATATTCATATAAAGGTGGAACTTCCTGGGCATAGGTGTCTGCCCATTGCCTCTTGTTCTATTGCCTGGCACCACTGAGCAGAGCCTGAATCCAACCTCTTGACACCCTCCCATCAGACACTGATAGACACTGATCATGTCCTCTCTCAGTCATCTCTCCTCAGCTTTTCTGGATAGAAGGGGTGCTCCAGTCCCCTAAGCAACTTCATTGCCCTCTGCTGGACCTGCTCCAGCAGCTTCATGTCTCTGTTGTCCTGAGGAGCCCAGAACTGAACACAGCACTCCAGGTGAGGCCTCAGCAGGGCTGAGTAGAGGAGCAGGATCACCTCCCTCCACCTGCTGGCAATGCTCTTCCCAATGCCCCCAGGATACCATTGGTTTCTTGGCCACCAGGACACACTGCTGGCTCATGGAGAGCTTCTTGTCCACCAGGACCCCCAGGTCCTTCTCCACAGAGCTGCTCCCCAGCAGGGCAGCCCCAGCCTGTGCTGGTACCTGGGGTTGTTCCTTCCCATGTGCAGGACCCTGCACTCGCCCTTGCTGAATTTCACAAGGTTCCTCTCTGCCCACCTCTCCAAGCCATTGAGGTCCTCTGAAGGGCTGCACGGCCCTCTGGGGCATCAGCCATTGCTCCCAGCTCTGCATCCTCAGCAGACCTGCTCAGGAGGCATCTGTCCCTTCACCCGAGCCACTGGTGAGTAACTTAAACAGTCCTGGGCCTGTATTGAACCCTGGGGAACAGCAGCAGTGACTGCATCCAGCCAGGCCCTGGGCCAGTGAAACATCCAGCCAGGCCCTGGGCCAGTGAAACATCCAGCCAGACCCTGGGCCAGTGAAACATCCAGCCAGACCCTGGGCCAGTGACTGCATCCAGCCAGGCCCTGGGCCAGTGACTGCATCCAGCCAGGCCCTGGGCCAGTGAACATCCAGCCAGGCCCTGGGCCAGTGAAACATCCAGCCAGACCCTGGGCCAGTGACTGCATCCAGCCAGACCCTGGGCCAGTGACTGCATCCAGCCAGACCCTGGGCCAGTGAACATCCAGCCAGGCCCTGGGCCAGTGAACATCCAGCCAGGCCCTGGGCCAGTGAACATCCAGCCAGACCCTGGGCCAGTGACTGCATCCAGCCAGACCCTGGGCCAGTGATTACAACCCTCTGGGTTCTGCCATTCAGCCGGTTCTCAATCCACCTCACTGTCCACTCATCCAGTCCATAAATCTTGAGTTTTCCTACAAGGATGCTGTCGCAGACATTTTTTCATAGAAATCCTTTCTTTGGGATTTATTCATCTTCTGGGAAGCTGAGGCCCCAGAAGAAGAATGTAAACAATTGTTATCAGCTGGTGTGGTGCACAGGTGCACCTGTGATTGGCTCATGTTCCGTGTTTACAATTAAGGGCCAATCACAGGAGCAAGCTCGGGGACAGATTCCCTGGACACAGAACTTTGTTATTCATTCTTTCCTATTCTATTCTTAGCTTAGCAGCCTCTGCAACTTCTCTCCTTATTCTTTTTAGTATAGTAATAATGTATTATATATCCTATATCAATAAATCTAGCCTTCTGATCATCAAACAAGATCCTCATCCTTCTCTCAACCTGAAGACCTCATCAGGTCGCTGTAATAGGATGCTGTGAGAGACAATATCAAAAGCCTTGCTGAAGTCAAGGTTCCACTGCTCTCCCTTCCACCATCCAGCTAATTGTTTCATCATAAAAGTCTATCAGGCTGGTCAAGCATGACTTATCTGCAGTGAATCCATGGTGACTATTCCTGATCACCTTCCAGTTACCCATGTGGATAGATATGGCCTCTAGAATTAAGAAAAAGCCTGAATTCTTTTCTCTATACCAGTACACTCCTCTGTGAACAAGAGACCATTTTTATTATTTTAGACAATTTTATTATTTTATTATTTTGGAGACCAGATATTATTTTAGGAATTTAGGTGCTAAAATACATGGGGTACTGCCAAGAGTTTAAATAGCAACTATGAACACCTAAGAATGCTTAAAAGAAAGTAATGAAAGAAAACCTTATGTAGGGGGTTGACCATGGCAGAATGCCAGATGCCCACCAGAGCTTGTCACTTCCCTCCACAGCTGGATGCGGGGAGAAAATATAGTGAAGAGTTCACAAGTTAAGGACTATAAGATATCATGCACCGAATGCCATCACAAGCAAAACAGACTCAGTTCTGTTGCAGAATGATGATAAATAAAATTAAATCTTAAAATCACCTCCCCCCTACCCCTCCCTTCTTCCCAGCTTTGTCTCCTCCCTGTAGCAAGTGCAGGGAGACAGGGAATGGGAGTTATGGTCAGCTGGGACCTCCATGGCTGCAGGGCCACAGCTGCCTCACCATGGTCTGCACCAGGGGCTGCAGGGGAGCCTCAGCTCTGGTGCCTGGAGCACCTCCTGCCTTTCCTTTCTCCCTGACCTCAGTGTCTGCAGGGCTGTTCCTCTCACGTATTCCCCGCCTACACAAAAACTCCACAAAAAAATTTTAAGTCTCTTAAATATGTAATCAGAGAGGCATTACCACCATTTCTGATGGGCCCAGCCTTGACCAGAGGCATGTCCTCCTGCAGCTGGCTAGGACTGTCTCTTCCAGACATGGAGGAAACTTCTGGCAGCTTCTCACAGAAGCCATCCCTGTAGCTGCCCTGCTACCAAAACCTGGCCTATACACCTTATCTTAGAGGTACCATGGAAAGCAACCCCTTTTCTTAGTTCTTAGTTGCTTCTGTACTTAAATTCACAGATACAGAGAGCAGAGGCAGAACCCTTTGCTTACAAATGGAAATTGAATGGAAATACACAAGTAATACACAAATGACATGAACTGAGAAGGGGTGAAAAATCTGACATGCTCAAATAGAAATATTGCTAAGCATTACAAGATCAAATTTTCATCAGGCAGTATAGCAAAACTTCTTTGTGGCATCTCTCAATTCTATTCTTGTTTACCACATGCCTATCTAAATCCACCACAACCTTACTGATTTCCACGGGATTACTCCTATGGTGCTTGTGATATACCCCTACTAAGAAACAAGTAAAGCAAACACCTTTGTGATAACTGAAGGCTCCATCATTGTCTCTGGTAAAACCATGGGAAGTGATTTATTAAAAGACAAATACAACCCACTTATTATGAACAGCTATTAATTTAAAATCTCTTCAAGTGATTACTTCAACACAAAGTTATCTTAATCAGGTAAGAGCAGCTGTAACTAAACACCAAATGCTCCAAGTACATTTTAAATGTTGATATATAATTGTTCTCTGGTTTTCAGACTCAAATAAAGCTCTTTTAATCAGCTTTCTGTGGACGAAGTATAATTGTGATAGAGTAAAATGAAAAACTGGATCTCAAACAAACCCTATGAGAAATGATTCCTATTAGCAATTGCAAAAAAAAAAAACCAAACCCAAACTGAAGTGACTTATTCAGAATTTTCTGTACAATTTACCAGGATACATTTTTTCTACTACAAAATGTACATATCCATTTTTGACATTAAACTCATGCCACTAACACATACACTGAAATCACTGGGTTCCTGTGCTCAAGGTAAAGGAAATATTAATTGGAAATATTAGGTCAATTGGCGTGTTAGAAAAACTGGGTCAAATACATTCTCACTTTGAGATTCCACTGCTAACCAATCCTTTACTGTCTGATTTGCTATAAAAAGTAATGGAGGGCTAAAAGTTAGTTTATTTGTGGGGTTTTTCTTTATTTTTTTATTTAAGTTACATTGTCAGGTTCAAAACATTTATATTCTCTCCTTTCAAGATGAATCACAGTATTTTTTAAGATGGCTATCTTTACTAAAACTGTCCCCCAGTAAGTTTTCTGCTAAAATATAAGTACACAAACACATAATGTGCTCTGACCATTAAGCAAAGTACAAAATCTTTCTATCCAACCCAGAGAACACATAACCTATCAGATAGCTGCCGGTTTTAAAGGATTAGCTTGTTTTTCTAACACTCTCTTTTTGTACAAATAAATTATTTAAGTTCTTTGAACCAGCAATCCTCAGGAAATACAGGGCATCTCAAGAGTATCAGAAATGTCCTCCACCAGTTTTACTAAAGGAAAATTCTAAAAAACAAAAAACAAAAAAATGCCTTAAGATATCCAGCCAGATGTTCACTTTGAAATGTATCAGCTCCCAGCATACAGAACAGGATACACATGATATGCCAAGAGCTACGTTCAACTACATGTTCTGCAGCTAATTTTTAGGTGGAAAGTAAAACAAGACATTTTATGACTGCAGGTTGTCCAGCTTTGGTGATTATTTTAAGTTGCATGAAGTTGTTAACACTTCTAACTT